CCAGACCCTGGCGTTGAAGTTCAAACAAAGGTTGTCTTGAAAACAGTTTAAACAGGCCCAAAATGGCCTGTGCTAAGACCCTGGTCTGGTGCCTGAGTTTCAGGGCAGCTTGATCTTATGAGGGCCTGAAAGTGGCCCTCCATTTCAGGCTGAAAAGACTCAGGGCCTGGAGGGCCCTGTTTTAGGCTGAAACGACACAGGGCCTGTAGGCCCTTGTTTTCAGGCTTTCAGGCTGAGACGACACAGGGCCTGTAGGCCCTTGTTTTCAGGCTTTCAGGCTGGAACGACCCAGGGCCTGAAAATGGCCCTCGTTTGCAGGCGCAGCATGTAACATGCAGGCACCTCATCATGAATGGCTGCCTATTTGCAAAACGAGCAGGCAGTGGTATATAATTTTCCCTTACAGCTGAAAGCAAAATAAAGCAGAGCTTTCCCAAATAAATAAATAAATAAATAAATAAATAAATAAATAAAATAAAGCAGAGGACATGAGATTGTCTGCAAGATCTTAGGGCACCTCGTTTGTCCTCTGACAGCTGTGCTGCCACATGGTCCACACGAGATTCATAGTGTGCACTTTCTGAGCCAGATACACACCTGGATACCCACAGCACTGCCCGTTCTCCTTGGGAAGCCACTCGAAAAAAAAACAAGTTTTTTTTATTTTTTTTCGTTTTTCCTTCCTTTTCGGTGCCAACGAGGCAGGAACACTTTACTTTTCTGCGCCGGTATGCAGACAGAATGGGCGCGGATACATAACCTGTGAATCACTGCATACTACAGCGGGCATTTCTGCCCATTTCTCCTGAAGTTTGAGGGCTTTCTGTCCTCGTATAGTGCACGCCCACCATGTGGCGGGCGTTTTGCCACTCTGTTCCTTTTGTTTCAGTTTTTTTTTTTTTTTTTTGGCTATAGCTGGGCTTCGTCCGTGCATGTGTTTTCACGGTCACAGACTGAACATGTACCAGTGGGCAAAATAACAGTCCATTTGCCTTTTTCTGCTGGGCCCACCTCTTTCTCTCCCGGCGCACTACCCTGCCTTCCCAGAGCCTCGAATTTCTCTTGTGGCAACAAGTTTACTTTTCTGCAAGGCTGGGGGCGTGTACTGGTGGTTTAAGGTCCATATTTCAGCAGTTATGGGACCACTGAGCACGTGAGTTTCAGGGCAGTAGCAGGCCAACTCACCACGTGCTTTTCAGGGCTTCCCTCCACCAAATGTACAAAACTAGAATGAATCTTCTGCCAGAACATGGAACCGTACTCCGCCATATGTTTAGTCTTTTGTGCAAGTGGTGACGAGTGGAGCAAGGCCCTTAGGGTCACTGCTCGTATGTTTTGTCTTTTGTGCAAGTAGTGACTAGTGGAGCAAGGCCCTTAGGGCAACCACTAGTAGGAAAACGAAACAAAAGAAAGCGATAGTAAGTAGCTGTAACTTGTAACCCATAACTGCTGGAAAGCAGACCTGACTTCGGATCCAGAACATTGATTGCTGGCCTGCTCCTCTCTCACACGGAATTTGTTGAACGACTCTTGAGATATTGGGACCCTTGCAGATGCACTGCTGGGGTCCTTCGGGAGAAAGACTTCAACAAGGAATACGTGGGCCCAATTTTTTTTTTCTGTGCCCTTCGATATTTTAAAAGGGAGGTGCGCCATTGGCTACCTCAGCCAGCCCTCTCCAATTTTTTTTTTTTACCCTATTTATTGGGGTGCGCCGCATCACGTGCACGCTATGCGCCGCACGTGTGGAGCTCGTGCGTTGCGCCACAGGTATGGGTTGGACTAAAGGGGGAGTATAGGGGATATTGGGGGGTTTAATAAGGGTGTTGGGGGCAGTTCGGGGGTGTTGGGGTGGTGTATGGGGGTATTGGGGGCCTCTATGGGGGTGTTGGTGGTGTTATTAGGGGTTCTGGGCCCCAAAACAAAAACAAAAACAAAAAACGAAAGTGCGGGGTGCCGATGACCCCCCACCGGTAGGTGCCGACCAGCCGGTCGGTCGGCGGATCGGCAGCCGACCAGTCAAGGGCCGCCGACCATTGGCAGGTCCAACACTGCCGGTGGGAGTGAAATGGTTTTCCCCTTTGCAGTTACAGATGCAGATTCTAGGGCTCGATCCCTAGACCTTACCTCACCCGTGTACAGTGTTTTGAACCCGTGACCTGTGTTTTGGTAGCGGAATGTTGTCTGTCGTAGGTCTGTGTAGCGTTAGGTCTTGAACCGTAGACCTGTCGAAGTAGGGGTCATACCTGTGCAGGGGTCATAGTAGTCGCAACTCTGAAAGGTCAGTCGTAGCTGCTACAGTGATGAAAGGTCAAGGTCGTAGCTGCTATAGTCCCGAAAGGCCAAGTCCACAGAATTCCGGAAGGTTCGGAAGTGGCCTTTCAAGAGTTTGTACACGTTAGGTCAGCGGCAAGTGGGTAAGTAGGAGTCCAACTTTGTCGAGTCAGCGGTACCCAGTCCCAGTCACACTTCGTCTAGTCAGCAAGTACCATGTGGGACTGTGTACACCATGGGCCCGGTGGAAAGGGGCAGATCCGCGACCTCTAGAAGTATAAATCAAGATGCGGCGTCCATTCATTCATTCATTCCTGCATGAGCCATGCGGAAGCGCTGCCCTAGCGTCTTGTGGGAGGCTGCGAGGAAGATAGAGAAGCCATCACTGCTTGTAGGGAGTGGTAGCCGGAGGCCATAGCTGCCATAGCTAGCGATAGGTGGTAGTGAGAGTGTGTATGTGTGTGTGATACAGAGTGTGTGTGCATGGGATATCCAGGGAGATCCAGCATGGAGTGCATGTGAACAGTTGTGTGAATACAGTGTCGGTGGCGAGAGGTGTAGACGCTCAGGCGCCATAGCCAATTGAAGCGAGTTTGTATCCGAACTGTGTTCTCGGAGTGGTACCTCTGAGCTTTGTGTGGGCGCCTGGCGCCAGTGTGGTTTTCCATCTGTTTGCATGCATGCGAAGTGAGAAGAAAGCGAGTCTGATTACACCCCCATGAATCTTCGCACAACCGAAGAGTGGGTGCAAGCGATGCTCTCTGACAACCCACACAGAGCAATGGGGGGCAGCCTCCGATGCGGCAGCCACAATGACTGGATCCCACAGTTCGGAGCTGTATCTTGAAACCTCTGCGCGCGGCTGGGTTTTGGGCACTGGACCTCTTGAGTTGCCCGGTTACGCACACTACATCGATCAACGCCCGCTGGCCAAATGCACAGGGTGCAGGTCCGACATCTGAACCTGCGCCCTTATACCATAGTGTGCATTCGACACTGGTGCTTTACGCACTGATCTAAGCTCATGGCATTCATTCAGCCATGGGCCATACCTCCCTTTTTTTTCATATACCGTGCGTACCAGGTGAAAGGCCTTCCACAATTCAGACCCCAAATCCGATATTCAGGGTCTAAGTTTCCAAATGGGTAGAGGCCCAGTCGGCCAGGTTCTGGAAGTTACCGTCAAATATCCCAAAGGTCAAGTGTGGCGCAGACTAGCTGAAAGGTCACGTCCTGAGACTAAAATGCAAAAGTCCCTTTCAGAAAAGTACAGTCGGGTACCTTAGGAGTCAAGTTCAACAGGCACCCGGTAAACAGTCACACCCCAGAGGCAAAAGTTGAGTTCTATAAGCAAAAGTCACGTCTCATATTGAAGAGTCGTATTGAAAAGTCATATTCCACAGGCAAGCGACACTTCCCCAGGCAAAAGTCGTGTCCCAGAGGCAAGAGTCACAACCCACAGTCAAAAGTCATGTTCCACAGGTGAAACGTCATGATTCACAGGCCCAAGCAACAGCACACCAATGAAAATTCGGGAAAAGTACCAAGCCTTGGTATTCTGAAGCAAGCAGGCCATGGGGATGTGGTATAAGAAGCAGAGGCTGGGACGAGTTGAAGCTCAGTCCAAGTCAATATAAGGATTGGCCAGCCACATTTTGGACAAATTGCTCATTCGCATCAAGTGTGGAAGTGCTGTTGCGCTTGTGCGCTAATGTGAGTGGCTGGGCGCTGAGGCCAGAGGGGTGCGCTATTGTGCGCGAGAGAGAAGGCAGCCATAGCTGTGTTAGAGTTAGTAGTTGGCATTAGTAGTAGTAGTATACTAGTGGGTGTATTCAGAGCTGGTTCTCAAGTAGTAGAGAGTGTGAGTGCATGCAAGTAGAGAGGGAAGACACAGTGAGGTAGTAGACAGAGAGAAGACCAAGAAAGAGAGAACAGGGAGGAGCAGTGAGAGAGTCACATACTTGGATGATGATACTGGATACTGGTTACTTGGCAGTGCGTTGTTGAGCGCAAGTGACTGGAACTCTCAATTGCTCATATGATAATTGTTGGAATTTTAAAGTTGCGCTTACTTGGTCTTCAACTCTCTGGCCTCCAGTGTGGATTTCGTGTGATCTCATATTGTGTGTGCGTGTATACCCTTTTCTTTCTTTCGGTTTTTACGAGACCCGAAAGAGACGGCCGCGACCTCTTCCTCGGCCACGCCCTCTTCCTTGACGCCCTCCCCCGCGGGCTGCAACAACCGCGTAACTCCCCTCCTGAGCTACCGGTCTGTTGGGTTCATCGAGACCATAGTCTACCTGATCCCAGGAGATGGTCTCGGCGCCTCCTTCTTCAAAGGTCAGAAGGAGACTATCTTTCCCAGGTATAGACCCTGAGATGGTGCGGTTTTGCCATCTCTTTCCCACTTGCAGATCTTTCCAGTAATGGCAAAAATTCGCTTCAGCGAGGAAGCCGACATGATCTATGGCGATCTTACCGAACTTCTCATATGTCATCCCCTCTTCTTTGGTGCGGGGATAAAGTTGCGTTCTCAGGGGATCCGGGAGTGCTCTTGCAAAACTGTTTAAGATTTGGGCCGGTGTCAACCCGTGATCAGGGCAGTGCAATAATTCATCCATAGTGGCCTTTAGTGTAGAAGTACTCTTCCATTTCCTATCAGGAAGGCTGAGGATCAACATTTATGTGCGTCTTGCCAAATTCTTGTCTTCAAATCTCTCTCTTACCGCTTTAAGGAAATCCTCAATACGCATTTGCTGCAAATATTCGACCATAGAGCTGCATCCCGCCTCTTTTTGCAGCGAGATGACAAAGCTCATGGCGTCGCCTCCCATGCACGACGTTGCCATCAACACCCTGTCCCAGTATGGGATACGCTGTCCGTACACGTAAGTTTCGATTGCTGCCGCCCAGTGTAACACACTTTCTTCTTTTTTTCCATTGTAGGTCCAGGGCAGTTTAAGTTTTATCTTGTTGACCTGCCTGGTTTCCTGAGGAAGTTTTTCTTTCGGATCCCCAATCTTACTCTTTCCTTTCTTATCATCATAGTCGTCGCCATCACCATCTCCTCCGTCGTCTCCAGCTCCCTTTGCAATCCTCTCTACGACTTTCGGAGTGAATGTTTTAGTGACATGATCATCCAAAACCTGGATATATGTCTGAACATGATGGTCCACGTCCTTCGCGGACTTCTCTAAGAAGTTATTCCAGACATTTTCGAATTCCACCCGATGCGTTTCAACTCTTTG